ACTGACCATCTGCCAGCCAAATCGACGAAAATGTGGTCCGATGCGAGAGATCAGCGACTCTCTACAAAGCATGATCAAGGATCTTGTATTCAACAACGAATTGAGTCAAGAAAAGTACGATAACCTATCGATAGACGATAAGAAGTTATTTAAGGAAGTCCTGTCAATCACACATCTACAATATAACTTCTCGGAGAAGTTAGAAGATCCGCTCGAATCTCTTCGCATGTAGTATAATAAGATCAAGGGAGAGCTAATGTTAGGTAATGATAACCCCTCGATCTTGAAACAGCTGAAGGTGGTTTGCGTGGATATGTACTCGAATAAGCTAATTTCCGATTCTGAGTTCAAAAGCATTATAACTCGTCTATTATAAGCATGTTAGTTCTCGATCCACGCATCATCTCCAAGACCTCGGATCTCTACCAGTTCCAAGCTGATAAGAACCTTGCTGAACTCAAAAGCTTGAACCATCAGCGAGATTGTCACTAATAACGCTTGTTGTTGCAGCTGCTGGGACTTCGATTTGAAAGCTGGTATTGGCGAACTGAATCGAATCAACGTTGAATTCAGAGTTATATAGAGAGATCGATTGAATCGATGCTCCTACATCCTGGAAATTACAAGCAGACCCAGGGAAAGTATACACCCATCGGCTATTAAGCCCATCCTGGACTAGACAGGTTTGGTCAATTTTCACAAATGAACTCATGCTTGTTGCTATATGAGACAACTAATTTTTTCTCCAATATTAATCGATTGATCAAAGTTATAGCGTATCTGTCCCTTTACACTACCGATGAAGAGCATTTGACCTTTTCCACTAGCAATAGCGCGATTGTAATAATGCATGATTCCATTTTCGGTTAATCCAGGGATGTTAAAATCAGTAATCAGTAGCTTTATATCGTGACGGGAATTCGCGTGAAGTATCGCTACGTATTCAGTATTCAAGCGAATCATTTTATCAGTGGCAAACCAGCTGTGGGATAGAAATATGGAACTAAGCTTGAAATGTCTCCATCTTGTTCTGCTGTTTGGCAAGTATATCCCTGCGAATCTGAACGATGAACACTTCGAGTACAGGTACTGTACGGTCGCTGGGGTGATGGCACTCAACGCCATTGCTTTTTGTTTTTGTGATGAACAAGATGCAGCTTGCGATGATTCCGCGTCTCGGAGATAAGTCTGACGACAAAGGGCCGAGAGAGCCCAAACTCTCAATTGAGCATGACCGCAGTGCCAATTAGAATACTAGTGCGTGCTGAACTTGGTAGGCGATAACGTAGAAAATCATTTGCGCTGACTTGGTTTCCAATAAATTTGTCATCGTCATGTCCACCAAACCAGTTTATCAAATGAAGGCAACTCTGTTCATTGTCACGATCATATTTTTTGTGCTGAAGTCGCTTGCGTTCAGAGACCAGTATGATGTCAAAATATCTCCTTCTATCAGTAGTAGTATTGCAGACTTAACTCCATGCGTCATCCATTCAGAAATTCTGCTTCAGAATGTTGCAGGCACCTTCATCAGCACAATATGCACAGGTTAAGACGAAGATTTTTTCCGGACTGAAGTCGCAACGATCACGGTAAAGCGGTGTGTGTTATTGAAGAAATCTCATTGTTGGCATTATCCTTGAACTTAGTTGCTACGAAGTCAGCCGACGAACACGTACACGCACTATAAGCATGCAGAGATTGCAAAACTCAAGTTTTACAGCTTTTGTTAAAGTTGAAGCAGTGATCCATCTCGCTAAGTCATTTGCTTTGATGCTATTTGACCACTCAGACGCCGTGTTAGTATACTGGATCAAGCACATTG